GAGAGAGAGAGAGAGAATTTCCTTCTCCTTCAGAGAATTTGAAAAGATTCCATTTTGAAAAGTGACAACGTATTGTCGAAGGTACATCGAAGAATGAAAATCTGAGAAAATCGATAGAATTTCAAAGCGGACATTCCCGGTTATTCCAACAGGCTGCGAAACCGCTCGCTCACATTATTCACGAATCATGCACGAAGGAATCCTAGATCCGCGAGTGAACTGATATTCAAAAATAACTCCTTGAAACTTCAAATCTAACAATCATAACAAAATAATGTTTAATACTCAATGAGAGAATTATTGTAAAAACGAAGTTACAACATTATTTAATATTATTATATTTAATATTATTAATTTTTAATGTTTATTTATTCTTTGTAATTATTCAAAACAAAAATAAGAGAAAAAATGGCTTTATCTTTTTACTACGTAAATTGTTGCTCTCTTTCTTTGTTCCAAACACAGAAAACCGGACTTTTTCGAAAAGGGAAGCGAAACATTTCTTTCTAAATAAAACAGAACAGAATATAACGGAGCACAAAGCAGCAGCACATATTGCTTCGAGTTTGCTGAAATATTATCTTTTTTTATTTTAACTAATAGAACAATGTGTGCAATACATTACCATTTACTTTCTATATAAATAAATAAATAAATATGTATTACATATATATCATAAATAATATGTATTTCATAATGGACAAATTCTGTTGTTATTGTTGACAATTTGTATCGCAATTACATGTTTGTTTGGTGTCACAAATAATCATTAGATATATTCTTTTAAATTTCAAGGAAAATAATAAATAATTATACAAATAATTTTTTTAGAAGTATTGATATTAAATCATTTTTACATCGAAGAAATCATGTTTCTTCTTTCTCTTATTATTATACGTTCCCCTAATGCTATTATCAAAATGAGAATAAATTCTATTATTAAAAAAAGAACAAATAATATCAATCAAACAGACTATCTGCAAAAATGATATTTGCATTCTATCTTTCTTTCACTTTGAATGACTCACTTAAAATAACTAATGACAAAACAATATAAATAAATAAATATATATATATATATGTATATATATCATGTTATAAGTATAATTCGGTTCGTATAAAATGCAATCGTAATTTCGCTGTCACGAAACAAACGCAATCGTAATTAACGCTATTTGTTTATGTTTCACCGATCCTAAATCTCCGTGTTTCATCGTTTGCAAAATAACGAAAACACATCGTGGCGGATAGATGCAACGATGACAAGTATATCAAAGCTCTCAGCATCGACTATTGATTGCACCGCGAGCAACGTAATGCAGCGTGAGAACGATGACAGACAAAAAGCGAGCGATTTTGTGAAATATCGCGATGAACTGCCCGATGAAATTTATAGGAAGGTAGTTATCGCGACTAGCGAAGGTTTCCCGTTTCCCATCCCAATGAAGCGCGTGTAACGTCGACTTCCGCCCGGCAAAACCAATTTTACTTTGAAGTTTAAGGCACGCAGACAGGCGTCGATCAACGGAAATGGGATATATCGACTTCGTGTCTCTCGTTGAAATACTTGTGTTTTTACTTTTAACACCGCGGAAGACATCCGTGATATAAGTTCCCTTTTCGTAGACCGCTTATCATTCAATGCCTACAGCATGTCACAATCAGACGGCATCTTCGTGGATCTATTTCTAATAAGTGAAGTTTTCTCGCTTTACAAAAATATATTTATACATGTAAAATAATCTTAAAGTTTAGATGTAAAAGATTTTAATCATCACTATGTATGATTAAACAGGGATCAGTGTAATTCCTATTGCAATGAGATATTTTGAGGGAAAATTTTCATACGTGCGATAAAAAAAAAATTTTATTAAATTTAACATATCCTGAACAATCCACTCAAATTTTTGTTAATTAATTTAAATATGAATATAGATATTAAATTAATGTAATTTTCATTATAAAATTTTATATATATATATATATAGTATAAAATTAAATTGTATTAGAAATTAATAAATGTGTAAAGGCAATAAAATAAACGTGTAAAATTTAAGTTGAGAAATTATTTATTTCGTTCATAGAAATATTAAAAACAAATATCTCGTTTTATTGATCTTTATACTTTTATTAATGTTCTTCTTTACACGAGCCACGTAATTTATTTAAATTTCAAATTTAAATTGTATTGATTTAATATTTTAAAAAAATTTTTCATAATTTTAATATATAATTTTATTAGTTAGATATTAAAATTAGCCTACAACAAACATACGTTATTTAACATACGTTAAATATAACGTAAATATATTGAATATTTAACACAGAAATTTTAAGCGATATATTTTTTAATACAAAACCCATATTTTTTATTATATAAGCGTGATAGAATGACCCAATGCTAACAACGCAAAATTTTAGTGATAATTTTTAAAATAAATATGAAATCAAATTTTTTCAAATGAAAATTTTAAATGAAAATTTGAGAGGCAATCATAACTCAATATTTTAATAAATGTTTATTCAAGTATTATAATTGGATTTGCTCCATATTAGAAGGAAATAGAAATAGTTCTTACCATAACGAGCATGTTGGCAGCAGATGGCTTGACCTGCGTGCGAAAGTAGTTGTGGGTGTCTATGATTTTTTGCCGCACCTTGCTGTTGGTGGTCCTTATTAAATTGACAGGGACTCTGTCGCCGTACAATCGTGGCGCTGAAAACAGAAAGGAAAACATATTTCCTTCCAATAACCGGCATCTGTCGCCCTCAAAGGCTCGACCGACAATTTCTAGCGATTACTCATTTCCCCCTTCCAGAGATTAAAGGGAAAATCTTGATCAGACGCGAGAGTCAGAAAAAGTACGGAACGTACGTTTTGCTCCTCGGCAAGATATGTCAATTAGGGCATGAAGAAATATAAGGAAGAAAGAATATAGAATTTCGCGTAACTAGAACGCGAAAGCTCGTGTTGTTTCACGATGTGATCTTTCAACTTCCGTCGATGGTTCGCGACGTTTGTCGGAAAGTATCAGAAATTACTCGAATACCCAATTGAAAAGCGGAAACATGTCAAACGGATGTCGCTCCAACTATCATGTGACGTAATATCATTTCATTTGATTTCTCGATGATAATCTAAATGTTTTATTCTTTTCACATGTATCATCGTTTGATGAAAGGAAGAATATTTTTCTGCGCTTTTATCGTTCCGATTGTCAGAGAAATTGAAAATCTATCGTAAAACAATTTCGGATAGCAATATTGTGTGTATTTTTGAGCAATCAGAGATCCCTTGCGGGATCGGCTTACCATCGTTACGTGGGGAAGCAAGCGGTTTTTCTTCAATCATAACGTGAAGTGATCCTCCGCAGCCTCGTCTCGATCAAAATCGACTTTCCGCTTGTTCGCGAAGTATCGAGTAGCTTTCCGATCTTTTCGCAGAGACCACCATACGAGAAATGTCTGTGCGATGGGATAACAATAAAAACGGGAAACGTCCCGATCGAATATTTTTCCGGATAGTTACATGATACATTTGTTGATGTTGCCGCGCACGGCAAGGTTTTATCGTGAAACTTCACGAACTTTCGTTTCGCAGATAGAACAACGAGAACGCGCAAAAAACATGGTCGACAAGTCGAGATAATTACCTTAATGAAAGAACAATTCATTCGAAAAAGAAAAGATTATTTCTTTCATATAAATTAATTTTTAAAGCGGTTTATTTTAAGAATATTTTTTCTGCCCGCGAGAGATACCTATGAAAAGATGTTTACTCACTGGGCTTGCTTCTGTGGATTTTTCGTGGTACTGCAGCTGGCAAGGCCAGAGCTACTAAGACGATTATCCAAAGCCACTTCATTGTTTCCATGTATGAAACTAAAACATAAAATAAAGTCTACATTTCAAATTCTTAATGTAACAAAACGCATACGTACACAAATTTAAAAATTCGACATTTACAAATGAGATGAAAGTTTCTGTAAAACTACAAAAGATATCTCTTTTTGCATGCATTACGAACAACCGAGACTAGATATAAAATGACCTTTTGTAAATTAAGTCGTTCGTCCTTATTATCCATTCAGTTTTTAAGTAAACTTGACTTAAAACAAGCTTTTAACACCTAATTCAAGCCAAGATAATCGATGTTGAAAATTAAAAAAAATACGAGGAGATGAGTCTCTAATACGTTACTAAATCAACTTGGAACGGATCAAAGGAACTGCAAGCGGAGCTCGTGCGTTTTTTTCTCTCCGTACTACGTACAATTGTATCTCGATCAATCTTTTTACCCCCTAACTCTTGTTACTCATTCGGTCGTCGAACTTTTCCGACGCAGTGTGCATGCATATGTGCGCAGCCCCGGTCGAAGGACACGACATTCGCACCTGTGTGCGGCTCATTAATCACCATTCGCCTCGTCAGCGGCAAATTTCATTATTTCTCACCCGCGAAACTGTGTGTCCACGGGTAGCGTAGCGTTATCAACCCCCGCTATCAACCCTGACAACGCCGCCGCTATCATCAATAGCACGGCGCCCTTCGCGGTGGTAAACGTCAAAGGCAAATGGCACGTACGAAGACAGATTACGTTGAACGTTATTCGCGTTCACGCAATGGCTCGCCAAGCAAACAAAATCCCTTGATTTTTTTTTTTTTTTTTTTTTTTAAATCGGTCTCACTAGCCAACAATAAAATGCTCTCAATAGTGGGTCGATAGTGTTTCCATTTCCCGTCCTGATTTAATTGAAAAATTTTAAGGCTCGAAATTCGATCATTTTTACATCTAAAACTTAAAACAGTTCGAATTTTCAAAAATACATTGTCAAATATTTTGGGTCGACCATCGGCGTATGTTATTAAAACATTGATTGAGAAAATATTAGATAACGGTTATCTATGACTTTTCATTCCGTAATCAAAATGAAAGATTGGTCGATATCACGTACAATTTTAATCTCTTGATGATTAAAAATACGAAGAATACAATTTATTTCGGTTTCTAATTTTCAAAATATCAAAAATAGAGATCTCGAAACTTCGAACTTCTTTTAAAGTAAAATTTAATTTTTTTTAAAATTACATCTACATTCTCAACCTAATTCTCGATTAAAACTCTCTTTAATATACTTATCAAATTCATAAAAATAACATGTATTTGCATAATCGAGCAATATTATGTTCTCTCTAATATCAGTCTCTTTAATATCAGTTCTCTTTAATATCAGTCTCTTTAGACGACGAGACCAAAGCTCGTCTTCTCCGTCTGTTCCATCTGCTACAAAGACTTTGAGGACTTCGAAGTATCAAAGGAATGCAAAAAGGTTCGACCAAGCTGAACGACATCAAAGGCACATTTTGTTTCTTCAGTCCTGCGCGCATTCTTATGTCCGCCACTTTTCATTTTCCCTCTTAGAATATCCTTCGTCTCTGACGAGCGAAAGATATTCCGATTCTCCCTCCTCTATCATCTTTTTCTCTCTCGCATCGACGGATGCAAAATAGTTTAAGACAGATGATACATATGGATGCCTCTTCTCGCGTTGATTAGATTTTGATCACTCAATCTTGAAATTGACATAGGAAAACGTAAAGCGCTCGCTCCGCTCCATTTGACGATTTGAGATAAAAATATATTAAAATTGATAACGAATGTTTTCAAACTTTCCTTGATTAAATATTTTTATCTTTTATTGCATAATACCATATACATTTCACCCTCGTGTCTCTAATATTCGAAAAAAAAAACTTCCCAGTTTTGTTTGGTTATAAAAGCGTGAAATTATATTATATATCAATTTGCAATTTATGTTCATCTCATTATGTATCATCTCGTCGATATTACATCAAAAGATTTATTATTACACGCGGAGCGTACAAAAATGCGACCGATGGTATCTTTTGTACGACCCGGATATCGGATTTGGCTAAATAAAGACGGACTCCACGAACATCCGGTGCATTAATATCTGAAATCCTCGTGGAAAGTACTCGTGGCTTCCTCCGGACTGCGGGAAATGCTAATGTGAGTTCACCAAACATTCGGAATTTCGTACAGGCTGTTGCTATTTGCTTCGACATACTAAGCACATGGGATGTCGAGTCGTAATAACTATTCGCAATTTCGTTGGTCGCGTTGGTCAGTTGCGCAGGTTTGAGGAACGATAAAACAACGCGAGAGATAACAGAGTTTCCCTAATTTGAGAATTTCTCTCAAAAGCGAAGATCTCACATCATATCATAAGCCCTCGTGATTATTTTTTATCAGAATTGCCTTTTTAACCTTACGAAACTATTCCATAAAGTTCTATCTTCTGTTTTTTTAATTATTATTTCACTTATAACGTTTTTTTTTTTATTTTAACAAGTTTTATTAGGAGTTTTACACGTTTCTGCCTGCTTATAATTCACGGCTATTTCCTGAATAGGTGGTATAAAAGAAAAGAATTTTTATCAGGCAACTTTATTTTACGATCTATCGTTTTTTATCATCAAATGCAAGTGTATCTCGCACGTAAAAGTGCGAAATAAAAGTTAAATGAGCTGAAGATATCAAAAGTAAAACGTACAAACGCACAGCTCCCATTTTTAAAAAAGATAAGTAAAGTCGATTATTCGCATATATTGAAGCTTATTGCTGCTCCTTTTCCGCGATTGGTTCTCTCTTCGTGAGCAAATGTCATCGTGAGGATTATTTTTATAGTTGTGTATATTGTGTGTATCAAAGAATCAATAATTTTTTTGTGCTATATTTCACAATTAAATTGTGTGTGTGTGTGTGTGTGTGTGTGTGTGTGTGTGTTTAATTTAAATTATATATTTAAAATTATATGTTTACTTTAATTAAATTATATATTTAATTGTAAAATATAGTGCAAAAAAAGAAATAGTGCGCGCGTATGCTAGTATCTAGTATAATTAAAATCGTCGTTTTTTAATAATTTTTGTAACAATTATTGAAATTGTGTATTTCATAACTTCCGCTATACCAAAAGATAACAATATTGTAACAAATAAATTAAATTTTACACTTTGGACTAAATTACAAATGATTACAAATTACAAATTACAAAAAGATTGCAACATAAAAGTTTGTGAAAAATTATTTTCATCGTGTAATTTTCCATGAATGAATTTTCGATCCTGCTGCGATCTTATCTATCTTATCTGTTATTCTTGAATTTCCTGTACATCATCAAAGCTCGAATGTTTCAGTATAAGAGACCGAGATGTGTTGAAATATTAACAATATGATATGACATGTAAGACTCGTCTGTGTCTTGAATCGATTCAAAATCGCGACAACACAAACTCACCCTCTTTTGTCGAAGCGTAGGTGGTGCTTGTGGCTCGCCCGAAGGTTAAAAGGATGCGACGGGGCTATACCACCACTACATATACTCCCACATTTATTGCACGTTTAATGTGCATCGTAGTGTAGATATAGTTTATTTTTATGCGAGTGCGCGCGGGTACGCCTTTATAGCGCGGATGCTAGTAGTAGAAGCGAAGTGAGGTCAGCCGTGTCTGACCTCACAATTGTCGTTTTCACTGAAGCCATTCACTTAAAGCGCGCTACAGCTTAATCTATGCTACTCGTACTCGGTGTTTCTTCTTATGTCCTTATTACTATTCTTCTGACTTGTGTAAATTTATTTTATTAAGTTTAGATTATAGCATATATCATAAATACAGGGTGTCTCGGAATTTGAGAGTACAAAGATTGCAACATAAAAGTTTGTGAAAAATTATTTTCATTGTGTAATTTTCCGTGAATTTTCGATCTTGCTGCGACCTTATCTATCTTTATCTGTTATTCTTGAATTTCCTGTACGTCATCAAAGCTCGAATGTTTCGGTATAAGAGACCGAGATGTGTTGAAATATTAACAATATAATATGACATGTAAGAGATCGATATGCGTTGTGAAATATTAACAGTATGCTGTCCCTCGGAGGTTTTCTACATTTTTCCCAAGACGATTCTCATATTAATGAACGATGAAAAATTAACGAAACCGATTGAATGCGAAGGACGAGGACGATTCTTTCGTTGGACGAGTCGATTATTGCGAGATTCATTACACTCTCGCGTTACACGGGGAATAAAGGGACTGACGCTCCTTTCATCAAGAGTCAAAAGCGGCACTTCGTCAATAATTCAGAGGAAATTTCCGACCGGGGGGATAAGCCCGACGGCAACCGCATTTAATTTGCGACAAAGTCCGTGGTCGACGAAGCGCTGTGAGATGACGACGCGCTCGCGTCGTCGCGTGAAACATGCAGCGCGTAATATCGGCCGCGTGTAAATTGCTCATAAATATTTTCACTTAATTTCGCAAATCAAGAGTGCGTCGCGCGGATAACAGCGACTCCGTCGAGCCCCCCCCAACGCCGATTCATAATTAAAATCGTAATTGCGAAGTAGTCGGTCGCCTGCGGGACGATCTAACTTCTCGCTTCGGATAATAACGCGATTCTGGACTTAAGACCGCGCGACAATTCATTATTAATCAACGCGATCATATATTTTGCAATGTTTGTATCATAAATAAGAAATATATCACGCATCAATATATACGGAGCAATTTGATCGTTATCGATGACGACGAACCAATTATTCGTATTTGTTATATTTATTAATTAACGCAAATACAGAACTCAACTCGCGCGCTTTCAAACGCAGGTGATTGAATTAATCAATATAACTGGAAACTTGAAGACAGATATATTTTGCGGCGATATTTTAGCATCTTCCGAAGAGAGATAATTTTATAATTAATTAAAAAATGGAGAAATTGACTTTGAAAATGAAAAAGACCACGTGAGAGAGATTATAAGATTTTTTTCTACGTAAGAGAGATTATAATCAAAAGA